AGGGAAAAACAGTAGCTTATGTTAGACCGACTTAGATGGTTGGGAGGGGAACAACAAGGCAAATTAGAAGTAATGAAGAGGAAATTGAGGTAAAATGGAGGGTAACTAAGAGAGGTGGAGAAAAGTTTGGGTAAGTGTGGTAGATACCCATGTTTCCACCTCAATAGTTTTGGAGGAATTCAGGCTAACATTTGAAAAGTCAAAAAGTTTGTCAGTTGTTTTCCTTAGTTGTTCATTAACCACCTATAATTGGCTCCACTCAGGTAACAGCAGTATAGGTAGATGAGCTGCCTGCAAGATCTAAGCTTTGGCTGTGCAAGAGAATTTCCCTCAGAGGATTGTCGTAAGGGCTGAGGGAGCCCTGATTTACAATAACCAGTGGTGTGGTAGAATCGGGGCAGTCTGAACTACCTGCAGTCTGTGGCCGCACTGGGCTAATGGTGCTGGAAACTGCCATGCCAGCTTTCCGATGACGGGGTGATGCTCCAGGAGCTCAGCATGTTGTCTGTCATATCAGAATCCCTGTGTAAAAGACCATGTATTTTAGGCTTTGTTTTCCAAATTTTCTTAATCAAGGCAATTATTGAGGATATTTATAGTAAAATGGTTTGGGTAACAAAGTTTTACTGAGAAGGAACAACTCTTTCTGTTCTTTCTATGCCATTTTGTCTTCTAGGCTCATCCAAAAGTATCGGAAAAGCTAAAAACTCTAATGGTGGAGTGGTCGGAAGAATTTCAGAAAGACCCGCAGTGTAGCTTAATATCTGCGACTATTAAGTCTTTAAAAGAAGAAGGTGTAACTTTTCCTGCCGCTGGATCGCAGGTAAAAGCTAAGCTGGGATACTGGTGCTGTTGGGTTTGCTGTTGCTGGCAGGGAACAAATGCAAAGCTGTCCAAAGGAGATGTGTTGTGCTTTCAATCAAAGGAGAGTCGGATCCTTGTTCTAGTTCGGTTGCCTCCTTATGCTGGGCTTCCCTTATAGTCGTTCTGCTTTTTTCTGTCCTTGCCTTCCTAAGAAAATTAAGAACAGACTTCAGGATGCCCTTGTGAGTTGTTTCGGTTTAGATCCTTCTTTTCTTCCCCACATTTTTAGAGCTTCATTGAGCTGTCAGCATCTTAAATCGAAGCAGTTCTACGCCCACGCTTTGTACGTGGTGTTTCACGGTTCTAATTGCTGACTCGGAGCACATACCTTCGTTTTTCTTCACAGAGCCTCGCAAAACAAAGGGCAATATCTAGAATGGAAACAGTTTGGAAGAGGATCTGTGCTATGCTTTCCTCTTCCGAGTCCCCATTTCTTGTTCCTGCAGTTACCTGCCTGTGTCGGGAACCGTCCTGGCTCTGCAGTAGGTGGGGTGCTCCAATCCCTGACCTCACCCTTTGTGATTCACTGCTGGTGGGGTGCTCTGCCTGATCTTCTAGCTGGCAGATTCGATGGCAGGTGGCTTTTTTCTATGCCTTATTATTGATGTTTCTAAATATTTTCTTGTTAGTTATGAGTCAGGTGAAGATCAGTGCTGAAAATCAGAATTGCAGCTTTTATTACGTATTCCTTACATGAAGTGTACTTTTCTCCAGATCAAGCACAGAGGGTTGTTTTTTTTTACTTTTACAATCTTTCCTTCCTCCACAAAGATGTTTTCACTTCTAAATCTAGGATATGTGTTAAAACATATGGCAGAAACATGGAAGATCTAGAATACTGGCAACCAGTTATGCTTCCTTTCCTACAAATACATGTAAAACGACATCTTGATGTTTTTACCTCATACACTTCACTTCAAACAAGCAAAGCTGAGGTTTATTGGTATTTGGTGCGCTTGTACGGAGTTGTTCTCTGGGGCCGTTGGTGAGCCCTAGGCACGGCTAGCGTCTGGGACTTCCTTCCTGGTATGTGCGGGAAGGTTTGCTTGTTGGAATGATTCCACTCTGCTGTCATGGAGAGTCGTATTATTTAAGTCAGCAGCTCCCAGCTGATGTGCATTTGCTCTTCCTCCCCATTGTCCCACCAGCAGAGGTAGAGGGTGGCTTTTTGCTCTGATACGGAGAGAGATCTCCCTTTTCGGTAGGTCCGGCTGCTGCTTAGTAACTTGGGCCTTTGCAGATGTAGGCCTCCAAAGAGCTTTTCCTCCCATTTGAAGGGAGGGCTGGAGTGGTGGAGGGCGATGGTGGAAGGAGTAGTCGTTTAAATGAGCAGTCTCACTTTAATAAATGAGACTAAAATAATGATTTAAATGAGACCTGTTATTTAAATTAGATCTGATTATTTATTTTACTTTGTTCCTTGCTGAAAACAAAGTAAAACCTGGCTGAGATTCGGAAGAGTGGTAATTTTTAGTTCTAGAAGGTCACCTTGATTCAGTAATGAAATGCTACAGTAAGGCAGCTAACAGGGACAACTTACTACTGGTTTTTTAAAGTATATCATTACAGAGCTTTCTTCTTCCTTTGTAACCTGAACTTGCTCTGGTGTGAATACATTTGCAGGCTACCACAAACGCTGCTAAGAATGGCTCATCGTTAAGTAAGAACAAAGAAGATGAAGACATAGCTAAAGGTAAGTTGCCAGTCACAGCCTTGGGTTAGACTTGTGCTCTGGGAGCGCTGTTAGAATGCCCAGAGAGAGGCACTTGTGTGCTCTCCTGCTGCACGGAATTGGAAACAAGAGCCACTAAAGCACCGTGTCATTCAAGATGGTATGAAGGTGCTTTCCTTGTGGATGAGGAGTTGGGGTAAGATGTGTCTCCCCCATTGTGTAAGATGTGTCTGCCCCGTTGTTCCGTGGCTGCTTTCTCCTCGCAGAGCTTGGTCTCTTCCCTTCCGCAACCGCACGTTTTATTTTAGCCGCCGCCTTGATGCTTTAAAAAAATCGGAACATTTACATGTTTTATTCTTTCTCCTCTTTCTTGGATATGATTGCTGTTGTTCAGATGGCGGAGTGAAGGATTTATCAGTATTTCTGGTCGTGCTAATGCTGCTGCTGCCGTTAGCAGCGTGTGCGCCGCTTCAGGGAGCGGGCTGCGCCGCGGAAAGCAGAGGGGTTTCTAAATGGTTCATAACTTGTGCGTGGTTACGTCCCGGCTTTTAATCCTCTTGCAGGGCAGAGTAAAGCTGTTGCAATGTGAAATAGGGCTAGTAGTTTGGAGCAAAGATTTGAAGTTTAAAATATTAGAGGAGCAGACACAGACCGAGTTTATAATATAACAATAAAGGATTTTCTGTTTGTTTTTACTAGGAAAGCAAACTGCCTTTGTATGCAGATATACAAACTTCCTTTTTTTTTTTTCCCTTCCCAAATTGTAGCTATCGAATTGTCTTTGCAAGAGCAGAAACAGCAACAAATGGAAACTAAATCCTTGTACCCGTCTGCAGAAATTCAGCAAAACAATCAGAACTCGAGGAAGGTGCGAGCTCTGTATGACTTTGAAGCCGTCGAGGACAATGAGCTCACCTTCAAAAGCGGCGAAATTATTTTTGTTTTGGATGACAGGTATAATATACTCCAATGAAGGTGTCTTTATTCCAGAACTGTTTCTTAGGATAGGATGATTTTCCTCTGCTTTTTATTTTTCCCTCACAGAAATGTCGCTCTGGCCTCCCTTGAATCCCTTTATCTTCCACTATTCTTTCCATAGCCCAAGTTTTTGACCTCAAGTCATTTTTGGTGCAGGGACAACCTCCCTGAATGACATGGGGTATTTCATCCTGTGGTGTAGGTCCCGTTTGTTTGTGGTTTTCAACATAAAAATGGCATGTGTCACAGGAGCATACGCATGCGCTGCAGTGCTAAATTCCAGCTGCTTCCAGAAATCGTGAAATCTCTGGCTATCAAGCATCGCATTTGCTAAAACTGAAGAAAAAATACTTAAGACAGTTACTGTTGTTATCACCATTGCCCCAGTGATAGCTGAGAAGCAGAACTTCTTCCCCACCAACGCCGGTCTGATTTAAGGACTGTGCCAGGTTTAATTCTGTTTGTACTGTTAGTCCCCATTTGTGTGCTTCTTGTGAACTTCTAGCTGAAGCTACAAGGGGCTGTCATCCCCTCAACTGAGGGGTTGCGTTACATTTTGAGTGGTTGCTACTGATTTTAGTTGCCCCGATCCCTCCTCTTCTCCTCCCCACCCCTCTGCCCCAGCAGGCTTTGGCTTTACTGCTAGGCTGCTGATCTCTACAGATGTTCTCCTCTGCCTTTCTTGTTGGATGCACAAGGAAACGATGTGTTAGGTATCCCAGGTTTTCTGCCAAAAGCCTAAAATACGTTGCTGGCACTGGGTTACTGTTCAGTTTTGTAATACAGCTTTATCTCCCCAGTGACACCAATTGGTGGAAAGGTGAAAATCATAGAGGAGTAGGACTGTTTCCATCTAATTTTGTGACTTCTGACTTAAATGTGGAACCTGAGGCGGGTAAGTTAGCTACTGAAAGCCGACAGATTATTTTAGAAAGGTGGGCTTGTGGTGGGGTTACCGATTAGCCCATCAGCGAAATAATTTCCTGAAATCAGCCTGAAGAAAGAATTGAGAGAGAAATCCTACCCTTGTTTCAAGCAAGCAAGCGTCTACCACTGCTGTAGCTCACTTTAATGGTTGCTGTCTTCTGACTCCCTTCTAAGTTGTTACCTTTTTAATGTTACAGAGATTTGGTTCAATTTACTGTAATTTTGTGTCAGTAACATATTACATAGGAATCCAGTAGTTGCCACTTAGAAGTCTCTTTTCAGACGTCAGACCTGGTGTAGAACAACACAGCCCTGTCAGCGGTTTGTAAGAATCACATTGTTAGCTTTGTTCATGCTCACGATACCGAAATAAATCTTAACGCTTACGACTTGGCTGAAAGTAACTGTACGAGCGTTGGAGGTGGGTTTAGGTGCTGATGTGACTCAAGAGTCTTTCCCGTGCTGGGCCTGGGTTCGTAATCAGGCCCACGGCCCAAAGGAAGCGGCTTGTCAGAACGTTTTCTAGGCAAACCCGTTTCCCCTTCTCCAGCAGCCAGGTGCATAAAGTACTTACTCAAATTCCTCTCATTTAAAGATCTGATGGCAAGCGAGGAGAAAAGGTGTATTTTAAGTTAGTGTAGTTACACAGCTGCAGAAAAGAAACTAACGTTTGTTCTTTCAGCAACTGTGGACAGAACTTGTGTTCCTGAGGATACCACAGAAGAAATTCAGAAGGCAGAGCCTGAGCCAGTCTATATAGATGAGGTATGCAGTCACTTTCAATGTAAAAAATTGCTGAGATTTTACACTGTTTGAAACATTCTTGGTTGCTGAATGTTAGTGGGTAATTCTTTTTGTATACAGTAATTTTTTTTAATTTGAAAATTAAAACGGCCTGCCATGCTTCAGAAATAACTGTTCTTCATCTTCACCTTTCAGGATAAGATGGATAAAACATTGCAGGTGCTTCAGAGTATAGATCCTACGGATTTAAAGCTTGATTCTCCAGATCTTCTAGACTCAGAAGGTACTTTGAGCACTAAGTTAGCTAATTTTTCCTTTTCTTCTCACAAGTACCTTTTGTGGACTGAGCTGGAAATTCTTTTGAGTTTATTTTAAGCTTAGAGAAACCGTGGTCTGTACTAATAGCGTGCTGCAGAACAGCTTATTTCACAGTGGGAGCGTGGGGCTGTATGTGTAACTCTGGATTTTCTAATAGTTGCCAGGCCAACCCCATGTGCAGCGGCAGAGTAATTTGCATAACTTCCAGCTAGTGTGCGACGCCCCATCTTTGCAAGATCCGTCCACTTATCAAAGCTCTGCTTGAAATAAGCAATTAATTTTGTGTCAAAATGCCTCCGGAATGCCGCGGGCTAGGAAGGGAGAGGAAGTTCAGTTCACGTAGGAGCCAGTGGGTTCAAGGTGTGTCATAAGACTTCAGCGTACGTTGAGGGAGGAGTGTTCCTGGAGTGGGAGAGTGAAGGTGAAGGAAGCTCTGCAGTGCTGCTGCAGGTCTGGAGCTGCACAGGCAGCCCAGGCTGGATATTCCAGCAGGAGATGCAGGTCTCAGATCTCTGCAGAAATGCAAAATTTTCTGTGAGTTTCATCAGCAGTCTTCTGTTGGAGAGGGTGGAGGAGAAGAGGAGAGAGGGTGACAGAGCAGAAAAACCAGAGTGGTTTTCCTCTCTTTGGGCTGGAGGAGTGGGACACATGACAAGTAGGGGCACTCTCCAATTTCGTGTGCTATTTCAGTGTACTTGGAGACAGTATTTTTTGGCTGCATTTAAACTTTTCATTGTGCAAGACACCAACTACCTTGACGCTTCTGTCTTCACAGATATTTGCCAACAGATGGGTCCGATGATAGACGAAAAACTAGAAGAGATAGATAGGTGAGCCACAACGTAGCTTCTGCCTTACTTACTATGATCTACTGTAAATTGTGCAGTTATAGTAATTTTTTTTTTGCAATTTTTCCATCTCCCAAGCTAAAAAATCTTGCAAGAGGGAAATTTTGCCAATTCTACCTTTACGTTTTAACGCTCAGGTACTGAGGTGCCGGTGTGCTACTGAGATCTGATTGCTGCTCTCCCAAACTTCCTGCAGAAGTTCCCGGGTGCATTTTACATTGGCACTTTTTGACTGTAGCCCTTTGCGATCTGCCAAGAGCTCGGTGTTTTCAGCTGCTGCTGACTGGCCTCCACGCCAGGAAAATCTGTTCGATGCTGGCTTCACCCCTGCCCCCTCAGACTCCGAGGGCTGTTTAAGGGTGAAAAGAAACGTTAACTAATGCCTGCGGAGCTGGTTGCCCTACTGCAGCTAGGGAAGGGCAGTTGTTCAGAGCTTGGACTTCCCTTCCAGTCCCATTGGTGTCACAAACAGAACGGCAGTTTTACGCTGTAGCTGTGTTAAGAAATGGACTATCAGCCTTTTAAGGTTGTTTTTCCTCGCATATTCAGAACCGTTTAATGAACCACTCTTTTTTTGCCATCTAGCACTAGGTGTTAGAGAAACTTAGCGTTTGCATCTGCTTGTTTTGAAACAGAAAACATTCAGAATTATCTGAATTGAATGTGAAAGTTCTAGAAGCTCTGGAGCTCTACAACAAGCTGATGAACGAAACGCCGATGTATTCGGCCTACTCAAAACTCCACCATCCTGCACAATACCCACCTACATCTTCTGGTGTTTCCGTGCAGGTCAGTGTCCCTTTCTGGAAACAGACTTTCCTAATATAGAGTTCTATTTAAAAAGATGACAGCAAAAAGGAAGTGTACGCTTTCTTGCTAGCCTACGAACAAGCTGACATTGCCTGATGACTTTTTATAGCCTTTAGAATAAAATACCGTTTGTGCACTAGAACGGAGTACTTCAGTTTGCAGTTACCTGCTTGTACAACAAGGTGCAGTTAATTGCGCCCTACTTCACAGAAAGGTACTGTATTGAAAACACAAAAAGATTCCTTCCATTATTAATTTTTTACAGTTAGAACTGTGTGTTTCAGCAGCTTGGTGGATATTCTCACTGTGAGTCATGTCCTCAGTCTTAAAGTAAAATGTTACCCTTCTTACCTAATAGTGGGGATGTGAGTGAACTTTAATATTAGTGCATTAATCATGAGTGCAGTGTACTTTTTCTAAAGATAGAAACACTAGTCTGGTTTTTAGCTCTTTTTTTTCCCCTGAAGAACTGAACATGTTGTATTAGGGGGTGTAGTTGCTCAGAACTGTTTTACAGTATCTCTACTGTGCCGTATCGATGTTCTAAGAAAACAAAAATGGAGGAGAAAGAGAGATTTTTAAAGATCTTTTTTGGAGAAAGCGTAGAATGAGTGGTTTTACTTTCATTGAATTTTACTTTCATGTTAATTGTTCAGTGGGAAAAGAATAGTTGCCATAGCAACTGCTAGATCTGAAAATATGTCAGTTAAAAGTAATTCCGTGTCCTTAACTCCTGGTAATGATGGAAAATTCATTATATCTGGAGGTTAGAAAGTAATTTAAGCCAAAAGGCAACTGGGGTTTACCGTTTCTTCCAAGATACGTGCTTCCAGCGGTGACAGATGCAAGCTGATGCTGACCATGCCGAGCTGAGCGTTGTTATTGGGGACAAAACTGTCTGTTCCTTCCGTGTCCCTACACTATCCAAGGTCCAAAATCAGTGAGCAGCGTAGGCTTCTGCAGACTAAGCGTGTTACACCGCCTGCTCTGTCTGCATTTAGAGTAAAGACTTGCATCGCCTTAAACCAGAAATGGAAGAGACTAAAGTTTCTGCTTTCCTTTTGTGTTACGGTCTTGGAATCTTCTTACATTTGAATTTCCAAAATGTGTTAAATAACAAACCTCATATGGTGCCCATCTTCCTACTCAACTCTGTGCATCAAAACGCGTGAGGATTGAACGTTTTAAAGATGAGGCGAATTAGAGAGAAGGAAAGAAGGTTTGGGGGAGGGAGGCGGGGTCACGTACGTGATCCAGAAGGTTCTTTGTTCGGATGTGGAGCGCTGACCTTGTTAGCAGTGCATTTCTGAAAAAGGGACCTTCTGCTGGAATGAAGGGTGCCCATTTAAAACGGGCTGTGTGAAGTTCCGCGGTTTGGTTTTGGAACCTTGTGGAAAAAAAATGGGTGTTCCTTCAGCCCTAGAGCCCTAACGTGCTTGTTCGTGGCAGCGGTGTTCTGTGCCGCGTTTGCTGCTGCTTGATTGGAAATAAAAGGTATACATTGGTTTTGTTTGTTTGTTTTTAATATACAGTCGTATCCTGTACAGCCACCTAGTGGGAACTACATGATCCAGGGTGTTCACCAAGTCACCATCTCCCCAGGTTATAGCCTAGGACCCGATCAGATGGGGCAGTTGAGGTCTCTGCCTCAAAGTATAAATTCGTCTGGAGCCACTCAGCCAGCTCAAGCTGCGTACTTAAGGTATTGCTTCAGCAAACTGTTAAATCATCTTCTTCCTGACAGTAATTGTTACTATTTTGTCTAGAGGTTGTGTGTTCTTGGAATATTTACAATGACAAGTAATGCTGTTTGATCATTTTGAAAATACACGGATCGCTTTTGGACTAAGCCATACTCTTCTTTGCGAATCTGCTCGTCAGATGCATAGGCATGAACTTGTCAGCATTAGATTTGTTTCGTTCTGTTGCAGCCCAGGACCAGATTCTGTGTTAAACCAGACGTACGTGAACCAGAGCGCTGGCCTTCCGTCAGCTGCCAGCGCAGCTGCTTACACCCAGCAGCAGATGGGGATGTCGGTGGATATGTCGGCTTACCAGAGCAACGCGGCGAGTTTGCCTCAAGGACCAGGGTATCCCGTGGCGGTTCCTGCTCATTCCGTTCTACAGCAACAAACAAATTACCATCAACAGCCTCTCCTTTAAGAACAAACCAGCTCGTATTTCTGAATTAATGAACAAAGGTTGCCTGACGTAATGATTTTTATCAATACCTGTCACGGATATCAATATTTTCCTTCTAAATACCCCAACTTACTGCACAGTAAAAATATGCATCAGATCTGATTGTTAAGCATTTGCATAAAGATAGCTTGGACTAGATTAGCTGGTGGTTTAAAATAATTTCCTATTACTTCAAGCCCTTATTTCAGCGCTTTCAAGAAATGCCACTTGTGAATCTTAAGTTAAAAAGACTGTCCAAAAATAATTTTCCTTTAAACGTGTTTCTGAACACTCAAGGATGCTTAACCGTCGTTATGGGTTGCTCTCGTTACGCGTTGCCCCCTCTGGTACCTTACTCTGATCCTGCTATCCGAGGGGCTTTAGGGAACCTCTGCCCGTTCAGACACCGCCTTCCCTGCGCTGCTGTAGCGAGCGCTACGGGACGGTGTGCGCTGCGTGACTGGAGCAACTGCCCGAGTGCAGCAGACGAGAGCTGGAAGGGAAAATGGTTTGATGCTGTGACGGTGAGGACCGAGTACCTCCAGCGATAGGAGAAATGAGATTTTTACAGTGCTGCCTGTTAGGTTTTTTTATTTTTTTTTCCCCAGAAACTACAGCGAACTCCTGATGTGTTTCTCTTGATGGAAACAGGTAGGGTTTTGCTAGAGCTCGCTTGTGTCTCTTGGCAGAGGTGGTACTGCAAGCCCGAGGCTCGGTTGCGAGAGCAGGCAGGGGCTGCTCCCAGCTGACTGTGTGGGCTCTCTGTGGATGCGAGGTGCTGAGCCAGAAACTTGTACAGAATCTCTTCTCCTTTTTGGGTGTATTTAGCAGCGAAGGAGTATCGTAGTTCCCTGTGGTAAGGGAGGGGGCTCGAGAATGTTTAAAGCTTCTTAGGACTGCGGGAACCTGCCTTGTTCCCTTTCCAACGGGGAGCCGAGTGGAACAGGAATGGTCTTTGTGGGACCAGGGGGTTCTTGCCTCCCTTGGGTTTCCTTTCTCTGCCTCCATCTCTCGGTGAACGCTGGCTGCCGTCGGAGCAGCTCGGAGCCGTTTGGAGAAGGTGCGTTTGGCGCGCGGGCGGCAGCGGCTGAGCGCCCGCGCTCTGTGGGTGGGGTCGTGCTCCTCGTTCCACGCAAGGAGCGGTGCCGTAGGGAGAGGGACGGGCGTGCCTTCGGAAGAGGGTTGCCTTGGCGCTGCGGAAGCGAGCCGTTTGGGGGCTAAGAAGAGAAACCGAAGAATTTCTTCCCTGATGCACTTTTTTATGGGTGGGGTTTGTACAAGAGGAGCAGATGAGCTGAATTATCTTTCAGGAATGTGGGATTTCTTTCTTTTATTGTTTCAAGCTCTGGAAAAAAAAAAAAAAATCGCTGTTTACCTACTCACTTTAGCATAGTCGTATTTGTACCTGTTTTAACAATTTTATGATGAGTAATAATCTTTAAATTGGGAAAATAACAGAAGCAAATCACTCATAAAATCATCCTGGTTAAATGCACGAAACTCCCAGATGCCTGTGTCTGGCGTATACATTTTCTACCGAATGAGAGCTACCAGACTGTGGACTGTAGTTGAGTAATAAAAACCACCCTTTGCTCAGCACCACCTCCATTTCTTTTACACTTCATTTAATTATTTGGTATCGTGACCTTATTCATTCGCAGCCTCGTGCTTATGCAATAAGGAATTCAGTACCTGCTCTTTAAATCTTTTTTTTTTTTTTTAATTTCGATTGTGCAATTGGAAGGAAGATTTTTAGATTCCTTTTGATGTGACTTTAAATTATCTTTATCCTTCCCCTTGAAGTAGTTTAGGATAAATAACACGTGTTGCAATACTGAAGTACTTCCGTAACTTGTTCCTTGCCTTCTTTAAGAAGAACAATTAATTTCAATGCTGCTGTTCAAAATTCTTACTGGTTGGAGGTTTCTTTGTAAGAGTTTGCTTTGTTCCGAGTTGGTACGGAGTCAAACTAAGCCTTGCTATCGTTTGTCTAGATTCTTCATGTTTCTTAGCAAATTGAGATTAAGGTAGTTGGGTTTTGTGAATTCAAAATTTTGGTGCAGCAGATGTATAGAGTACCTTAAATGGAGATGGCTACACAGACGTGATTTGATTATGCTCAGTTCATTATTAAATATAAATAATGTATATACTCATTCGTCTGAGATTTTCTACACAGCTACATGTATGCATACTGTTAAAGCCTGAAATTTTCTAAAAGCAGGATTTGTCGTTCTGTCATCTCTTCTATTCCTAATTCTGTGATATGCAACTTGTAGATAGTGTAAAATAATTTAATTATTATTAAAATAGTGTATTCAGAGGGTTTTGGTGTTAATAGGATCTGTTTTTTCTCTTCATACTTCTATACATTATCATATTTATTTTTAAGGCCTGATTGTAACTGAACATGCTGCCAAAGGATTTATCTAACTTCAGATTTCTACGTTAGGTTTCTACCTGCTGTTTTGTATCAGGAATCCACGGTAGAGAACTTCTGCTTTTTCATACGAACTCTGAATGGTTAACATAGAAATTTGTGCAACTTTATAATGAGAATTTTATTGTAATATATTTGTTTCACGGGCGTTGAAAATATCAATACTAGATAAATTTTCTTCTAGTAGGAGCTGGCAACCTGTTGTGTCTAAGTTCCAGCCAGCTGAAAGCAACAGCTGAGTTTGTCTGCGGTGTCGCCGTGCGGAGACGCGTTTTGAGAACTGGTGGTCTTCATGCAGCCTCGCCGTCACAAACGCGTTGTCTGTTCCGTTGGGTACAGAAGTCGCCATGTTACAAGGCCGGGTGGTTTCCGTCACAAGCCAACCTTAAAAATAATGTTCTGTGTTCATTTTGCTTTAGGTTTCGTTCGTAGGTGTTCGTAGGCTTGTGGAACCGTGTAGCTCCTCTGCAGGCTGTCCCTTAGAAAGCAGAGCTGAGCGGGACGTGGCTGCAGCTGCAATCTCTTGCAGGAATTATTTTCTGATAGGAAGATTATTTTTTTCCCTCGTTTTTATCTATGCATCTTTTCTAAGAAATAATAGGCACTACTCCTGCTTACATTGAACACTGTGATGTGTCTGTTGAACAAGTGCGTAACTCTTTAGAATTTATGGCTCTTACCCGTTAAATTTTACATGAACCTGACTCAAACTGGTTTGAATTAGCAAAAATGAAAAATGGAGGAAAGGAAATAGAGCTGGGGCAGGTTCTGAGCACGTCTGAGCTTTCACAGCTCTGCTCCCTTCGCCGGCACTGGCACATCTGGTCGGCCAGTGAGTGACCTGGCCACCAAGGGGTGGCTCGCCTGAACTCCAAGCTCAGGTCGAGGTCCCTTCTCCTTTATCTGGGATTTAAGGTGGGTGGGCACCGGGGGATAGATGTATCGCAGTTCTTACAGAAAATGATCTTAAAGAGTCTGCAGTATTAAGAAGAGGGGATCTGTTTCGTTGGGAAATCCATTTGGCCTCCTGTCCGCCATATGTGTGCATTGCCTGGTGCGAATAAAACAAAGTTTGTTAACGAACACGGGTGAGGTGTCTTCTGTTTATACGACGTTCAGTCCTGGCCAGAAGGACAAGGAACTCTCATTTCCTCACTGCTGTTGACGAGCTCTTCTAATTGGGAACCGGTGCTCTGGTGCCTGAAGTGTCAGTAGGGTAGCGAGGGAACGCTGCTGCGTATCGGGTGTTAACTCTTGGGGAATAATCTTGCATAAAATGGTAAATTGCTTCGCCACAAATGGTAAGGGAAGCAAATACGCTGCTCTTTAAATTTGATTGTATTGCACATCTTCAGTAAGAGCCATGGTTGCTTATGGCTTATTCCAGCTTGTCACGGATACTCTCAACGAATTATCCAGAGGTTTCTAGCTCATCCAAAATAAGAATAAATCCTTGTGCTTTCAATATACCTTCTGCTGATGCTGTGAAGGGACATCAGAAAGATGTGTGCAAGCAGCCTGCCGTACCTGAGAACAACTCCATTAATTGTTATTCAGAAGTAAAGCGCTGCATTTTGTCATTTATTTACAGCCCTTTCGAGTTACTGACCCCAGCGGGGTCGCTTCAGGCTGCAGATCTAAATCTTATGAAGCCCTTATAAAGCCAAGGCACATGCTGAATCACTGGCAAATGCTTGTTTGTTCCTCATTTGGAATCTCGACCTAAACATCACTACGTCTACACAACACTATGTTAGCTTTCTGGCCAGCAGTGTAACCTGGGAAGTCAGCCACATACCAAGATTAGTGTTTAAAGAAGAAGGTACTTTTCATACCAATTTAATGATTAAACTGAATTTAAAAATAATCTAAATTAGACTACAGGAGTCATGACCCACATTCCTCTTTGACAAAGAAACCAGGCTGCCTAATTTCATCCCAGGAATTAAAAAACCAAATCTGCAGTATGTGTCTATGGCAAGAGAGAAAGAAATGTTTGCTTTGTTGTGCTTTGGACCTTCACTAGAGGCGTGTGTGTGTGTGTGTGTTCAGAGCTTTCTGGTGTAAAAGTGAGATCAGTTCAAAGATGCACACGTTCCTCCTCTTATTCATTTCAGTGGGAGGTGTAATGTGCTTGTAGTTAAAGCACAGGAGTGGGAAGCAGGAAATCCAGGTCCTGCTTCCAATTCTTCCCCAGATTTCCTCTTTAACTTCAAAAAAATCACTTAATGTCCTGATTTATCTTTTTTTCCTCTCTCCCATGGAAATTGCAGTGTTCTTCCTGGTGGCTAGTTGATGCAAACTAATGCTGATCAATACTCAGAAGTGCTGGGCAGCACTGTGGTTTATGTGCTTGTGGCACTTGTGGCTTAATTTCAGCTCAAGGAGGTTAAACTGGGCTTAGAGGCTGGTGCTTGCCCATAGCATCCGTGTTGCATCTCCAGTCTGCCACGGTCCCATGTGGGCGGCAGAGAGCCGGGATGGGGCACAAGGGTCACTAGTGCAGCAAACTGATGGCTGCAGGGTGAGCGGTGCTGATGACCGGTAGTTTGTGCTTGTTTCTGAAAATTAGACACCTACATGCCTCCACTGGAGTTTGTCCTGCGCTGGGGAAAGCAGGGCC